CTCCCGCGCTGAGCCCGCCCCCCCCGGTGGCGCCGAGCAGGCAGTACGTCGCGGCCCGTATCGAGACCAGCCGAGGGGTGGAGATCAGCAGCGCGATCTCGCCTCGGAGGGGCTCGATGCACAAACCACGTCGCTTGGGCGGCCCAGGAGGGCGAAGGAATTCGGTGTATACACGCTCCAACGTCCCACAGAGTGGGAAGCTGGGGCGTCTATGCACCGCGCCCCTTGGCCGACCAGACGACTCGGTGGTTACTTCCAGCCCCTCCCATCGCCGAAGTACTGGTTTTCGCACATCTTGCCGATCACCGCGTTGCTCGAGTTGAGGACCTCGGTGTGGCGCTCGTTCAGCCTTTAACCAAGAGATCGGGCCGAACCGGAAAAAAAGTGCGTCGGGTCGGGCCGCATCGGCAAGGGGGCGAGGTCCAGGTCGGAGCAGACCGGCTGCGCCAGGATGCACAGCAACGCCACGGGGACATCGGGACGCATCGGATCGATGGAAACTCCCAAACCTCCGTCGCCGTGTTTCTTCCACAACGTGTGCCCCTGGAGGTCTGGACCACTTCCGCGGGATCAGTTTGTCATCCCGAGTCGTTCTTCGACGGTCCCGCGGGGCCTGGTGCCGCCCTCCTCTGCCTCCTCATCCTCCGTCCTCCTTCTCCGCCTCTCCCTCTTTCCTTTCCCTTCCTTTCCGGCACCCTCGAGGCAGGTCCGTGTACTCGGTGGACGAGGAGGAGCTGGAGAGGGAGGGCGCCTCCAGATCTCCCTGGCCTCCTCGCCCTTCTCCCTCTGAGCCGCTCCTGCTCCTGCTTCCGCCGCCTCCCTCTGGACATCGACGTGCCAAACGGCCGGGCCGCCTCGGGTGGCTCGCGCCTGGACCTCTGCTGGTCGGGGCCGCCACGGGCAAAACTCGGGCGACCAGACTCCCAGATCATTACTCCGACGACGGGTCGCCGCGCCGCTTGTTCTCGGCGCGCCGGGTGGACGACGCCGACACCACGGCAGAACTGCAGCAAGCCCTGCGCCCCCCGCCCGAGCAGTCGAAGCCAGCAATGCGGCAAACCCACGCCAAGCCCACCGCGCCCGCAAGGCGGCGTTTGCCCCGGTGCCCGCGGCGCCCCCCCCCCCCAAACAAATGGAAGGCCGCGCGTCGGGACAAACGGCGCGGCGACATGTGATCTCTGTCAACCGGCATCTGCTTCTCGATGTGGACCTTCGCGACCCAGATATCATCGCGTCGTTAAAAAATTCAGGACGGGAAGATTTTGGCCAATTTCGGCCTCGGGGGGCCCTCGCAGGGCCTCGGGACCGTCAACAAAACGACGCAGGATACAGAACCGGCCCCGGGGAACGCGTCGGGACTTCCACGGACACCGTATGGGAAAAAACAGAACGTCGCGTGTCTGGGATCCTTGTCAACCGGCGCTTGTTCCTCGACGTGGACCTTCGTGGAGGCCGCCCCTGGGACACCTGGCCATCACGGAGTGAGTCCCGGCCGTCAGCCTGCCCCCTGGGAGGCGGGCACGGCTTCTGGGGCCGCGGGCTGACAAGCTCACAGCGGCGGAAATCCGGGGGCTCGGCAGTCCACAGGGCCCCCCTGAGCCAAGGACGTCCAGCCTGCCTTTGACCACGAAGTACATCTGCTCTCCTGGCGGAGAGGGCTGCTCTGGGCGGGGCGGAGAGATCGATCGTCGTGCGCCTGCCTGGCAAGGCCTGTGGTTGCCCGTAAGACTAGGCCAGGACAGGGACAACATCGGACCAGGATGGATCTATTTTTGCTACCAACTCGCGCATGTTGCGGCAGGAGCTGGATATCTACCAAGCGCCCGAGCAAAGGCGAACTATCAGCGGCACGGGGCCTTGTCGAACTAAGCCCAAAGAAGAAATCCACCAGATCCATGCAACGATGACGGGCACGAGGACTAAGGCGAGGGCACCCAAGGCCATCCTCAGTACCAGAAGCTCAGCGGCCGGTTCGTGACTATGTCATATTTCACGGTCGATGATGAAGCCGAGGCTGCAGGCTTCACGAAAAAAGGGTCCTGACGGCGCAGCTTGTCCGATGCCGGGTCTGGCCTCTCCCGCGTCCACTCGGAGATCTCGCGGGCGCCCCGGGAGGGCTCGACCCGGCGGGCGGAGTGGTGCCTCCACCGCAGGGCGGCGTCCTGGCACGAAGCTCCGGCGGCTCTTGCCCTGGCCGTGCTGGCACCCGACGGAGGCTGCGCCCGCAACTGGTCCACCGCACGGAGCGCATCGCGTGCCGTGGGCGGCTGCGGCGATGGGGTCGGCTCCCCTCGGCGCGCCGCCCACTCCTGCCGCGTCGTGCCGCCACTGGCCGCGCCGCCCACCGAGGTCGCCCGTGCGGCCGCCACCCCGTCAGCGCTCGCGGGCTCGGCGCTGGCCAGCGACGGCGTAGAGGGGCGGATGGCCTGGAACTCCCGGAAGGTGCGCGGGGTCAAGGCCTGTGCCGCGTGCCGAAGCCGCCTCAGCTCCTGTGCGCGTTCTGCCTTGCCCGCCGTCGCGGGCGCGCTGAGAGCCTCTCGGACGCAGCCGCCGTCCCAGGTCCGGAGTGAGCTGCCGAGCGACTCGGGGCGAGGCTGCTTCTGGGCGAAGTCGGCCCTGGTTGCTTGCACGGCCAAGCACTTCATCCCCTTCTGGCGGACGTTGGTCTGCCGGGCGTGCGGCACGTAGATCTCGTGGTTCTCGCTGTGGCTGAGGATGTTCCACGTCACCCCCGAAAGGAGATCCGCCTGCTTTCTCTCATCGGCGTTGCAGCGTGCGCTGGGGGGCCGCGGCAGGACCATCGGCGCGACACCCGACCCCAATGTGGCTCGAGCTTGTTGAGCCACAATCGCTACGGAAATCGGACCAAGGATGAAGCATGAGACTTCAATCCCAAATGTTCTGGAAGATGTATCGAGCGCAGCGGCCGTTCAAGAGCGCTCCAAAAGGCTCTGAGTGTTTTCCGGAATGCACGACTCATCCTCGTCCTAGCCTCGCCCGAACACCCCCCCCGAAAGGTAGCCCTTCGGCCCGAAGGGAACCGAATCGAAAACGGCCCGAACGAGACTCCGAAAACTAACAAAAACACTGACCCCCAACACGGAACAACACGCCGTTACAAAACGCCCTCAGCGTTTCGACCATCATCTGAGGCCGTGGCGGCCGTGGAGGGGGGGTCGGCGATTCCGAAGGGTGTGGCTTGAAAAGGGTGTGGTTTGTGACCCCCACCCTGGGGAGCACCCCGGGGGGCGAGCGGGCACTTTGATGGAGTTCTCCGCCGCGCCCCGAGGAAGCCCAACGAGGACAGCGTCGTGCCCCCCAGGCCACAGCGGCGCCGATCGCAAACCACACCCCAGCGTAACTACACCCTTTTTCGGCGGCGCGCCCGGGCGGGGGAGGGAGAAGGGGCGGGCCTGCTCGGAAGGCTCGGAAGTCCCCCGGCCTCCCGAGAATGTTCCTGAGCCTTCCTCGAAGACACCGACAACTTCTCAGAGGGTGCGAGGGCTCCTGAGAAGCCCCGCCGCCTTCTGAGCATGCTTTTTCCTGCTCGCCTCCCCCCCTCGCTCTCCGCCGACTTGCAGTCGCCGACGGGGGGCGAGATTAGGCGGCCACATGCGAACCCTACCCCACCTTCTCCCTCAGAAGTCGTTGGGGGAGGGGGTAGGGTTCGCGTGTGGCAGCCGAGAGGAACGCCTCGCCCCGCCAGGCGAGGGCCTCCAGCTCTCGCCCTCCGAGAGGCCCTCCCCGACTCCCTCTTGCGAAGGGCTTGTACTGTAAATTCGACCCCGCCCTCCTGCATTGGGTTCTCGTTTCGAATCTAGCACGGTAGTCTCCTCCTCCTCCTCCTCCTCCTCCTCCTCCTCCTCCTCCTCCTCCTCCTCCCGCCTCCCCCTCCTGCCTCCTGCCTCCTGCTTCCTGCCTCCTGCTCCTGTCTCCTCTTCCTTCTCTGTGCGCAACTGTCGCCTCGTTCGTGGGCTCCTCGGAGGTCCAGCGGAGTGGAGTTGTAGGGGGATCCAGTTGCGACCTCGCGGCTCTCTGGGAGGGCTGCGAAATGTGAAATTGTGTGCACTTTCGTGGGCTCCTGGGAGGTCCAGCGGAGTGGAGTCGTACGGGAATCCAGTTGAGACCTCTCGGCTCCCTAGTGGGGCTGCTACGTGTGAAACTGTCGCCACGCTCGTGGGCTTCACGGGCATCCAATTGACACCTCGCTGCAACCTGAAGGGGCTGCGACGTGTGAAACTGTCGCCACGCTCGTGGGCTCCTGGGAGATGCAGCGGAGTAGACTTGTAAGGGGGACCAATTGAAACCTCGCTGCTCCCTGGGGGGCTGCGACGTGTGAAACCGTCGCCACGCTCGTGGGCTTCCGGGAAGTCCAGCGGAGTGGACTTGTACGGGGAAGCAATTGAAACCTCGCCGCTCCCTGGGAGGCTGCGACGTGTGAAACTGTCGCCACTCTCGTGGGTTCCTGGGAGGTCCAGCGGGGTGGACTTGTACGGGGGTCAAGTCAAGACTTCGCGGATAACTGGGGAGCTGCGAAGTGTAAGACGGCCGCAACTTTCGTGAGCTCCTTGGGGTTCCAGCGGATTGGAACTGCATGGGGATCCAGTTGCGACCTCGCGGCTCCCTGGGGGGCTGCGAAGTGTGAGACTGTCACCTCTTTCGTTGGATCCTTGGAGGTCCAGCTGAGTGAAGCTGTACGGGGATCCAATTGAATCATCGCGGATCCCTTGGGTGGCTGCGACGTGTGAAACTGTCGCCACTTTCGCGGGCTCCTGGGAAGTCCAGCGGAACGGAGATGCACGGGGATCCACTTGAGACCTTGCGGCTCCCTGTGGGTGGGGGGTGGGGCTGCGAAGCGTGAGACAGTCGCCACGTTCGCGGCTCCTGGGAGGTCCAGCGGAGTGGGTTGTACGGTGATCCAGTTGAAACATCGCGGCGTACTTGGGGGGGGGGCTGCGAAATGCGAACCTGTCGCCACTTTCGTGAGCTGCTGGGGGGTC